GGACTGGGGGAAGTGTTCTGGCCTTGCATGGGGCCTATTAAGATTGAAACCTTGCCGAATCAACGCACCGGAAGCGATGTCCGTCTTCACTGGGTGTGCGAGGTGTCCATGGCACAGGGAAGTTGATGCGGAAGGTTGTACAAAACACTTAAACATTTGCATGTGCTATGTGTGGGCAAGCAAAGATGGTTATACGTACATGCATATGTATATACATGTATCGGAATAAACACATAAACAAATAAATATGTATATATATATATACACATATCTAAAGGTATGTATACATGCATGCATATATATATATATGTAGATACACATGTATACCAATCTTAAACCCTAAACTCCAAGCCCAGAGAACGCATCAACGCCTGTAGCGACATTGAAAAAACGCTTCAAAAACAACCAGTACAACCAACAGAAAACTATAATTAACTAACTGTTTTAATCCTCGCAGCAAATGCCACTCTAAACCCCAAACCCCAAACCCTCGACCCTTAACCCTGAAACCGTAAGCCCCCTGCGGATTCCTGGACAGAAGCTTGAACCCTCGAAGCAACCCTTTAAGGAAAAGGCCAAACATGAGATTTTAGTAGATGTCGTAAGTTTAGGGTTTTGGGGATGGTTTTTTTGTCCGCACAGGTTTGCTTGGTTGGAATTAGAAGCTGGCTTTGGGGATGTTTAGGGTTTAGGGTTTGGAATTTCAGGGTTTAGGGTTGAAGGATTGGAGGACTTGGGGTTTCGGTTTTATGGGGCATGCTTTATACTGTTTCATCCTGCAGGAGCTTTGCTATGATTCATGCCTCTGTTTTGCTTAGTGGTGCGTCTGGCTTCGGGCAGGAGAAGAACCCACCGTCGGCCAAAGCAGGAAGGCCCGAACGAGCACAACCACGACACTTGAAACTATGACTGACTCTGAGAACGATCGCTTGACTGTCGAGTCAGATAGTGCCCAATCAAAAACTCGTACAACCAAAAAACTGTGAAGGCAAGAAGATAGACGAAAAGTCAAAAAACGCGAAAACCCGAAACGAACAGCCGAACCCGAAAAGTCGAAAAACACGTAAAGTCCCGCAAGTGCAAGAAAAGTCGAAAAGCGTAACAGTCCGAAAAGTACTACAAAACGCGAAAAGTCGAAACGTCAAAACGCCCAAAAGCCCAACAAGTCCGAAAAGCGCAGGAAAACCCGAACAGTCGAAAAGTCGGAAAGCCCGAAATTTCGAAAAGCCCAACAAGTCCGAAAAGTGCCGAAAAGTCGAACAATCCAAACCTGAAAAGCCCACAAAGTCCGAAAAGTGCCCAAAAACCGGAAACTTCGAAAAGTCAAAAGCCCAAAAAGTCTGAAAAGAGCCAGAAAACCAGAAAAGTCGAAAAGCCCAAAAAGGCTGAAAAGTGCCGGAAAACTCGATAAGTCGAAAAGCCCAAAAAGTCCGAAAGGTGCAAGAAAATCCGAAACGTCGAAAACTGTTCGACTTTTTGACTTTTCGACTTTTCGAATTTGGTTTCGGTTCTCCGCTTCTGGAAACCAACGCCTGCTTGCGTACTTAGCAGTCTCCGAATGGGTTATTTGAAACTCAAAGCGAGTCGAATATCAGGCAGATACTTCAGCGAACCCGTGATGCAATGAGCCTTGGGCTTCAAGCAGTGAACCCCTATTGCATCTCCAGCTGTGAACGCGGCACTCAGAAGAGTTGGGTGGGGATGTTGCACAGGACGCAACTGTCGAACGAATTGATGGATCATGGCACATCAGAGCTCCACGACAAGTACTTGAGCATGATTTGCCTGGTCGCACGGCTAGCGGACGATAGGTGCTGGTCTGCAACATGCAGCGGGATGGTGATGGAAGGATCTACTCCTGATCTCTTGCTTTCCCCCACCCCCGATGATCCGATGAACTGGTTCGAGGCTGTGCCCCCCGCCAGCCAAGTGTTTCTTCAGAAATTTGCAGTCTGCGAAGTACCCGATACGAAGCATCCTTCGGACTCACCAGATCCACTAAAGCGAATCCAATGCTCCAAACTGAAATTGACAGAAACGAGTTGCTTCCAGGATCCCGAAATATCCCAAACATGGGAAGCGTAGGCCTACAATGATGCAATCATGAAGTTGAAGACGAGAAACTCCATCTGACCGCATCTCAAGGTCTTGGATGCCTGGCAGCATCTGGCTCGAGCTGCTGTCTGGTGTCATTTCTCGGGGACCGACGCTGCTGAACGAGATCCTGCAAGCGTCGGAATGCAGCCATTTCACCTTCGGGTATCAGTTTTGGACAGCACTCTTCTAGACTGCCATAGTCAAGGCTGGCACATCTCTGTGACCTCAAGTGGGATCTCACAGAGTCGGGTCATGGATCCTAGGTGAGGAGTCTACAGAGTCAGCCAAGATCTGGACAGAGGAAAGCGTGCTGCATCTTCCAAGACGCGAGCTCCCTTCAACTCCTGCAAACTGCAAGCTGCGACGCATTGCATAACGTGTTGCCAAATGTTGCAAAGGCTTTGAATGTGAACTCTGAGGAAGGGGGCCTCGGCGGTGGCCACCTCTCGTGCAATGCGCAACACCCGACCCGGGCCCCACAGAAGGGTCTTGCACGACAGTGCAGCACCCTGCCTGCACCCTGCAGCGGGAAAGGAGCTTCCGCAGGGACTGCGCGGATGTTACGTTCAGCACGGCTGGCTCACCTGCGGCTGGCTCGAACCGGCTGTCTCTGTCGCTTCTGCCATTGCCTTGATCACACGTCGTTGGTACATAAAACTGACAACGTTCTTGTATGTTTTGTGTTTGCGGCCCTGGCAGATGTCTTGAAAAAGGGATAAAAATGAACTGCAAACATGAAAGCGTAGGTTGCACAGAGCTCAAACGCCAATGCCCACATTCTATTCCGGTGTCTGTCTCTTGAGTCATCCTCACTCGCTGTGAATCGCTGCGAGCCCAGCCCACCTGCACCGTCGATGACCAACCTCCATAGACCACAAAGGCATGCCACTACGCAATCTCTCTCAATCTCTCTAGCGTCAGCAGCGGCCTCAGTTCCGTCGGCCTAACTTCCTCCACGTCTTCCACAAAGCCATACGTGGCAAAGAAGGCCTGTCAGTATGAATTTGTGCGGTGCATTGCTACATCCTGTGCTTCACGGTCCTGCGCGGAGGCGAACTGGTAGCGGATCCGAAGTTCCTTTGCTCCATGTTGCATGGTCCGTACATCAGCTTCTGGTCGGATGGAGGTGCTACCTGGCCCCTTCAAGCTCGAATTCCCCGCGATGCTGGCGATTAAAACTGTTACCACGCAAGTGTTGCGGACTCTGCGAAGATCTAAGAACAGTGCTGTGCCAGCCTTGACATCGCACTTGGTCCGCCCAACGACGCACAAGCCAGCATCCTGCTAAGTTCTACAGCTGTAACTTGCTCTTCGAAACCGCACAAGCGCGCTACAAAGCTGAAGCTCCTTGGTTCGGACAACATCCCAGTCAACTTCAGGCTGGCGTGAGTGGTTTAGCCTGGGACGAGATTTGCAACGCACCCACAAACATGCTAAAGTTAAAGCCTGTCCCAGCTAGGGGACATGTCCACGAAGGGAAGCATTGCAAGGTTCCAGCATCTTCCTGACGATGCTCATTTGTGTGAAAATCGGCTGAATCACAGCATTGACAGCCGCACCGCACCTTGATCGCCCACAGATCGTATGCCCATGGCACGGGAATGCGCAAGCCTCTAACTCGCTCTCGCAACAGTCTGCAGCTCCAGCGACCTCCTTCCTCCCCTGAGCTGGAAGCGAGAAAGCTTTGATGAACATGTCGCTGCTCGGGCATGCAGACTGAAAAGCCTTCCTCGCAGCAGCCTGTGCAACTCACAACTTCCCGATGCAACGCAAATGATATTTGGCACACCATGCCGGCCTGCAATGCGTTGACCACAGAAGAGTAGGCCTGCAGAACATACTCACCCATATGGAACATCTCCACAGGCTCCAGATCCCCGGCCCTGGCTAGCTGGCTCTTCTTCTCCTGCAGCTTGCAGAGGGAAGGCTCTGATGCTGCGGTGCTCGTATGAGCTCGTGACTGGTCTTGGATCTGCCACTGCGGCGCTGCACCATTGAGAGTGGAGAGTCGGTCTGGCCTCGTCGCTCGGCCGCTCATAAAAGGTGTCGCGCAACTCGTCTCCTCAGCATAGCCGAGACCGAGTTGCGTCCAGCTGAGCGGTAAGGAGCTGGACCAAGGCAAGGCCTCGGCTCAACGGAGAGCCAAGACTTCTCGCTGTGTTTTGAATTGCATTCCACTACATCCCTCAGGCTGGCACAGCAACGTAGTCAGACCAAAAAGCGGTCCTGGCAGGCCATGCATCCTTTCTTCGACCTCGACTTCCGAAGCCATCCAAACTTGTCCGGATTGCTTTGCTCCCTCCAGCAGCATCAGCACGGCAAGCAAGCAAAGCTCCACCTGAGCTTGACAGAAAAAGCAATTTCAGGCGGCAACCTGTGTGCAATCAGGCGTTCGACCAGATAGGTCTGTCATTTCATCTCTGGAAGCTCCGAGAGCTTCGGGCATTGACATGCATTGCAAGGGCGGCGGCGTGCTCTGCAGACAGGCCGACCTGGTGGCTTCATGCAAAGCGGAAGCACAAGCGTCACAAGCAGCGACACCTCCTCTGATGCGTGTTCAGCCCACTTCAGGGCCGCTCTCCCTGCCTGTGCAAGGCACAAAGTTCTCAAGAATCGCGAGGGAGGGCTGGACACGATGCCTTGCCTCGTGCGAGGACAAGCCTTCAGCAGTGAACCATATCTGCCTCGAAAGGCAAGGAGTGCTTGCCCTGCACCCTGAAATGCTCCAAATCTCCAAGGCTCCCGCGCAGGAACACGAAAGATCGCTTCACCTTGACAGGCACACGGTTGGATTCTGGCTGGTGCGAACCAGTGCCGGCCTTTGCTCAAACCGGCAACGGCCACAACATTTCGGTCCCCATCTGCCTGCATGCTCGCTCTCTCCAAACCATCTGCAGCACGTTGAAAGCAACAACATTGCTTCATGCAATGACGGCCGTCCTCTCGTAACGCTATCTTAGACGGGTCTGCGACACCACCCTTTCGCTGGAACCATGCTTGGACCTGCAACGCCCACCGCAAGACAACAGATGCTCAGAGTAAACTGTAATCAGGGGCCAAACAAAACTCTGCTGCCGACAAAAGTCGGCAGGTCACTTCGCCAGCCCTGCCCGACTGCCTTGGTCCATGCATCTGCGGATGCCACAGCCGAGAGTTTTGCATCACCTAGCAGCTGTCGCACGTAGCTGTCAAAGTCTCGAAAAGTCATCTGAAGCAATTGCGAAGGCAAGGGCACCTGGGTCTGCTGCGTAGCCTTCTGCAGCTGAGGTCCCGGTGCTCCTCTTCTTCTTCGGCATGGCGTCATTCCATCGGCAAGACAGTGAAACTATGCCGATTACCGCCAAGATTTGCGCTGCAACACATTTCTGAAGTTGTGTGAACAAATACACCTAAGGTTCGAATGGGACATCTGTGTAGATGGCTCTTTCCTCGAGGTTTGCGCCTTGAACTCATGGGACGATTCAGGGCATGTCCGTGCATGGAATTGCAACGCTGCTCTCTAAGACAACTTGTGGCAATTCGCACTTTGCGCACCTGGCTCACTGCTGCGTGTTAGACCAGTCTCCGGCAATCAGTCTGCTTTGGATCCCGGAGTCACTTCAGCAAACGAGTACACGGATTGCCAAAGCAAAGTTTCAACTTCTTCTATGCTGTCGCTTCCAGGACTGCCGTATCTCACGATGAGAACGAAACTGCTGAATTGCGCCAACTATGAGAAGACTTCGACCATCTTGCCGACCATGGCCTGGACCAAGTATAAAATGGATCCAACACCGCATGTTTTCAACTGTTTTCGAGACCCTGCCTGCATAACGAAGTTCTCCACCCGCTAAGATTGAACGAAAGCCAGCCGCGGCAGCAGCAATGCCAAAGCCGATGTCAATGATGATGGGGATGATGGTGATGATGACGACGACGATGACAATGTTCATGATCATGATAATGCCGACGACGATGGTCACGGTCATGGCGATCATGACGATGTCGATAATGTATTTGATGATAATGGTGATACTGACTGTGATACTGAGGATGATGAACACCATCATGCAGTAGGACGAGGAGGAGGAGGACAGCACTGAGATAAAGAGAAACGGGATAACGAGAATGCAAATGATGGCGACGACGACGACGAGGACGACGACGACCAACACCCCCCACATTCATGCTGATTCCTAGTGGTCCTGTTTCTCATGGTGGCTGTTCTAACGTATGGCATGGTAATGAGCAAGATCGCGATGAAGATGACAATGATAACGTTAGTCGTGTGCTGATGTTACCACACGCTTCGAAGCAGCAAGGCTTTTTGCTGGAGTCTTGAAGTGCCAGAGGGAGAGCACTTCCGTGTGTGTGCGCACACCCGAGAACGTGACTGCGTGAATGTGTCTTAAAGGAAGGCGCGAGTGCATAAGGACGGACGCAGGCAAAGAGCATGTCTGCATGCACATGTGCACACAGAGACACCGTTGCCTGCGGGTTGTGGCGGAGTGGAGCAATTCAGGAAGTGAGAGAGTGAGGGACGCGTACGGCCGAGCGAGTGGATGCTTGGCAAACGAAATGCTGTCTGTACTTGCTTTCGCGGCATTTGCAACAATGAACTGCCAGGTCTGACGGTGTTTCCCACTGGCCTCGATTTGTACATTGGTCATGCCAAAGCTCCGTTTGATGGCCTGAATGCGGAGGTGGCAAGAGAAATTCTAGGACGAGTGGTCCAACTAGTTGCATGGCCTGCAGCAAAAGCACTGTCTCTCTGGCAGTCGGCGCCACCAACCAAACTCTCCCGTTTTGGCCCACGCAGAGCTCGTAGGAAAAGTCCTCAAAAGAACAGGTCGATGCCAAAGGAAATCGTGTACTGTTCAGGCTTGGTAACTTAGCGTGGCTGGTGTCATCTGGTGTCGTGTGCAGTCCTTGCCCAGGCGATCCAGGATGAAGCAGTCGATGGCTGCAAGGAATTTAAGCTGATCAATCGAATCGAAGGGCAGTGCAATTCATCAAAATGTTTCGGATGGAACATGGCGAAACGGTTTCATCGCACCAACGGTATTTGTCTCTGAACCCCCTGGCCTAGAAGCCGTTGTGCTGCAGTGAGGGTCACCTAAGGCAGCAGGCAGAACCCTTGAAGGTGTGGCAACTGGACTACAAATCGACAGGGTGCAAGCCTGCCTCAAAACTCAGGCCGCCCTTCAACTCTCCCAGCAGCACCTTCCATTGCACCAGACACGAAGGAACGGCCGACCGCAACATGAGCACTGTTGAGCCTCACCGGTGTTCCATGACCTGCGTGCTCAAGGAAACAAACGAATCCGACCGAATGTCTGGAGTGGTTTCGAAGCACAAAGCACAGGTTCACGAAGACCGGGCTTCCTGGCTTTTTGGTGTCTGGGTCCACGCACGACAATTCGGTGTCCAGGTCCGGATGCGCTGCCTGTCAGCAGCGGCCATTTCAAAACGGCTACCGGAGAGCCTTGCAATCCAGCCTCGACCCTTGCATACACCAGCATGCCGATCCTGGAGCCGGCATACTTCACATGAGCAACACCGGCCCTGAGTTCAGCCAAGCTTCTCCAGCAAAGGCCGATTTCTTTTCGTGGCTCCGTTCCACCTCCACAGACAAAAAAGGCCAGCCTTACAACTTACGACCGAACAAAGCAACCGAACAACCAGCAGCATCATGTGCGACACATGGCCCACGCAAGTGTGGGAAGAAAAGCCGGCGAAGGAGCGCGTATTTCGACCTCCACGAGCGTCAATAAGCACAACATACCAATGACGGAAGCTGCATTATTCCTTGCATTCAGGCCTTGTAAAAGTCTGCACTGCGCGACATAATGATCCCAACAATGTAATCTCCCTGGCGTCAGCTTGCGGACTGGGACTAGGAGCTGCAGTTCCCCCGGCGCAGATTCATTAGCCCACCTTGCGAGGAATGTATCTCTTCCTAAGATTTTCCACGCGCACTTCGTCGCCCAGCGTCCTTCTCAAATAATTGTATCAGGAATCAATGAACCGGAAACATTGCATGCTCTGCCATGCCTCAACACTCCTGCTGTCGTGGCAAATGCTCGTCCACTGTCGGTATCGAGAGCTACCCCAGGGCCTCAAAAGTGCGAAAAATGAAATTCACAATGCACAAACCGAAAAATTCAAACCTGGCCATCCTGACCTGGGAGAGAACCAGGTTGCAGCGGTACTTCATCACCAGGCAAACAAAGCCTTTGCGAACGTTTGCTTGTTGGGCTGTCTCCCGAAATCACACCCAAAGCTCCACAGCCAAGGCCAGCTCGCCATGGCATGTGCGCCGTCACCCTTTTCATGGCACAACCACACCAACCGAAAATTAACTGCCCCGTGTTTGCCAGGGTACATTCGGGCTTCTTGTCACTACTACTCTTGAAAAGCCAAAGCTTCAGTGCGTCCGTCTCCCACGAACTTCGCGTGAAGACCTCTGAAGCAATATTGCGCATCCATCATGTTGCGGTTTAACATATCCGTGGCAACATTGATTTATGATGCGAATCTCACATTGCTACCGAACGTGGTGTTGGATGATTGGCTTGACACCTTGAGCTTTGCGACAAAATTGTAAATGTATGCTTCGGGTGAACAATCCCAATCACAGCCCGAGACAACAACAGTTCGCAGCAACCTTGTGTGTCGAAAAGTTGTGCCCAAACACCTGCTGGTAAGGAAAAATTATGTCATTGCAACATGTAAACGTTTAAAGTCTTTGTATGGGCCACAGCGAATTCAAAATGTAGTTTTTAATTGAAACCTTGTGAGTCAGCGTGACGTCATCCTTCAATGTTCGCGGTCAGCTGAACATAACATTGGCACATAAAATCAACGTTGTGGGTGGAAACATAATTACACGTCAGCAACAGCAACAGCAATTTCAATTGGACGCTGTGCGAACGCACGCCACGCAGCAGCAACCTGTATTCGGCGCCAATGAAGCCACCAGGTCTCTCGGACTAGGGCGCATTTTGCCTTGGCCAAACCAATAGCACTCTGCCGTGGAGCATGCCTATTACGCTCATTTTGCAAGCTAGAGACTCAATCCTGCCAGAGGTACATTACGAGAGGGTACACTTGGCATACGATGTCAGACACGAAATTAAGCCCAGTCCGCGCAAAGTGGCTCTTGAGCATGCGCCCGAGGATGCAAGCGCTGTGATTGACTGGTTCGCGCCACATCACGCGGTTGGGTTTGTTCGACGAGCTGGGGTCCCGCTGTGCAGTTTCTCGGTAATCGCCTAAAGAAGTCTAAGCCAAGACATGCGTGACGCTTCGCTCCGAGGCCCCCAAATCTTAGTTGTATTCCGAATGCAAAAGCTGGAATCTGAAATTTAGCCCCGCGCTGAACCTGGCAGCAAGGCATGTGTGTGTGGGCTTGCGTTCCTGCTTGGTTCCTCCATGTTGACTTTCCTGGGGTAGTAGCCCAGGTCAGCATGATCACTCCGCAACGGTGAGGTGTCAGTTGCCATGACACCGGGCCGTGTATGGCGACGGGCAAGTCCGAGCCGAGGACGGCGCATCTGGCCGGAATCACACCTGACAAGGCCCATATCCTATCCTACCTTCATGACGGACAGACATCGGTTGCCCAACAATCTGACTTCCACTCCATGTTTGGATTGGTTGTTCTCTGGACCCTCGGAGGAAGGGGGAGCGGGAGTGCGCTGAAGGAAAAAGCCCAAAGCCCTCAATAAAAATTTCAATGGTCTGTTTCGAGCTCTTCTAGAATGCACAATGCACACAACAGCCAAATGCTCAGTCAAAGATGCAATCAGCTACAATGCAATCACTCGGTCAGTAATCTTTTCAAAGCGACTGGAGCCACTGTGCGATTTGGTCAGTCAACATATAAGATGCAGTAGCAGCTTGAAAATGATAATACAATCTACCACGGTTCTTTGGACAACATTAATGCAATTCCCACTCATCAATAACATAACGCAAGCACCATGTGCCAATGGAGACACCAAGTGCCGGCAGAGGCCGTTTCCCAACGCCACGCTTTGTAAGCCGGCGAGCTGACTCCACAGGAGTATTGCATGAGAAGGCCGTAGAGGTATGAAGGTTCGTTAAACTTTGTCACAACAGCTAATCCTTCTAGTCAAGCTAGGCACAAAGCAGAGCTAAAAAAGGCTACAAAGCCAAAGCACTGCGGACTCTAGCAAGGTGTTTGGAGGTGAAGTCGGGAAAATCTTGCGTTGTGGCTCTTAAAGGACGAGGTGGCCGATCTGCAGTGAGTCGTGCAACCAAGACCGGAGAACTTAGTGGAGCAAGCGAGTGCAAGCTGTTCAGTTCGAAGCAAGCCGAAGCTTTTCGAAATTACCCTGCTGAACAAAGCATCACAACAGCAAGTTTAAAAAGATTGGCAGTGTGGATGATAAAACATGAAATTATCAAAGTTCTGCCGACTTAGTTTTCTTGGCTGTCAGGGTATGCTCGGAATTGAAGTCTTGCAGTTTCAAGATGCAAGGCTTTGCTGCTTCCTGCCTCTGAGTGAAACGCATATGCGATGCTATGCCTTTGGGACCGTACCTGGGGTATGGCTATGCGCATCTGCGGCCAAGGGTGTGGAGGGCGGGTGCTTCGGAAAAACATGTTCGCGACATGAAGCTGAGCCAGTCGCTAAGACCGCGCAGAGCATTACAGTGCAGAGCAAACTAGCAACAAAACAAAACGTGAAAGAAAAAAACGTAAGCGTCCAAAAAACACAGAAGAGGAGTGTGGGTGAAAACGAAGCTGCAAATTGCTAAAGCAGCGCGTGTTGCGTTTCAGCGCTAGAAGCTCCATCTACACCTTAAACCCACAAATCAAACTTCAAGTTTGGTTCAAAAAAGAGCCTCTGTGTGCCTGCAGAGGACCTGAAGTTTGGAGCTGGAAATCTGTGATGATGAGAGACGCCTTGCTCCGCATAACGGATGTCTTGCTGCCATGTTCATCAAGAAAACTAAAGGTGACTGCAGTTGACTTTTTTTGCCGTGGAGTGGACCTTGCCAAAGACTGGCTCGGCCATGCAGTGGCTGAGACTGGAAGAAACCGGAAAAAGCGCGAGACTGTGTTTCCTCGGCTCCAACCTTCTCATGATTGCCACATGGACATGGAAATCCGTTTTCTTTGGAGCACTCACGCAGCCGGCAACCGATGTAAGTCTCCAAGAAAAAGAGCCAAGCTCAGATTTTCTTCTCTCTTCCATGGCTTTGATGGAGGTTTGAAGGGAGAGAAAGTGTTCTTAACGTTCCTGGAAACAAATCACAGAACGTTAGTTTCCGAGGGACCT